TTTGAGCTGTGGCCCTGGAGAAGAATAATGAATATACCATGGATTGCTAGGAGAACAAACAGATTTGTCCTGTAGAGGGTGAAGCTGGGCTGATCCTTGGAGTCAAGGATTCTGAAGCTTCATCTGACATGCTTTGGGCAAGTTGCAAGGAGGGTCTGGTCCTTGGAGAGGCACATCATCTTTGGGAGAGTGGAGGGACGGCGCAGGAGAGGAAGACCTTCAATGAGATGGTTGATTCAGTGATTGGGATGGTGGGAGTAGGTGTATTGGAGACAGTGAAGTTGGCACAGGATAGAGAAGGATTTAGGGCTCTTATACATAGCTCTGAGTCACAAGTGATTCAACAGCACATAACAACAACACTGTGTACTGCAAGCCTCTTGTTTAGAGTCAACAAGACCTATAGAAGGCCTTTGTATTTAAAGGTTGGTTTTGAAGGAACATTCTTCTAAGTTGTATAGCATTCTTTTGTCCGTTTGCTGCACTGAGGTAATCTGGGTTTGCTGTGACGCTGAACTTTGTGCCCTTCGGGGGGGGGGGCTCAAATGTCATAATGGCTGTCCATAGTGGACAGTGTTTGGTGGAACTCCCCATTTAAGACAGGATTGGAAACAGGAGTGGCATCCACTTCCTAAACCACATGCCTCTATAGAATATGAACTTGGAGAAAGGATGAAAAGGCTTCAGGTCTTTTGTTCATTGGAGTTTTGTTCACTATGAGTCATATTCAACTCTACAGCAATCAACAACCACAATAGCAACAAAGTGTATTGCACACTTTTGGGTATGAGATTGTGTAAATAAGTCTCATATGAAAAGATTCATATCAATAAATTTTATAATGAGGAAAAGTCAGGAACCTTAGTAAGGGGATTGGTCCGTTTTGTCTTCCTGCTAGGATTAAAACTAGCCATTCCAAAAGCAGATAAGGAAGCCCCTCTTTGAGAAAGAAGAACTCGGAGTGGACTGTGTCTTTTGGACAACACTGAGAAACTCCTAGAACTGGGAAACAGAAGAACTACACCACAGAAGATAACAAGAGATGGCAATCCAAGAGTAGCAAGAACAACAGTGGTGTGAAACAGCAGAGACCAGGAGATCAGTGTAAGATAGTTTTGTTGAAGTGTACTGACACAGTGTCAAGAGTTGTAACACTTGCCCAAGAAGACCCAGACAGCAGAGGGTGAGAAGTTGTTTCAATTAAGATCGATATCTCAAGTTGTAACTCATTTGAATTGTGCCTTTCTCTTCCCTAACAAATCTCCTACCTATGAATATAGTTTCTTAGCTCTGACTCTGAGTGGCAACCAATTCTCACACTCAGTTTAGAAATAGAGTGCTATGGAAGAAAGACTAATGTAACAATTGGTAAGAAGTTTAGCAAGAGTAATATAGCTGACCTCCAATTTATAAAGACTAAACCTTGGTCTGATGTTGATGATTATTCTCTTCCTCATGAAGTTGGAGGAGGTCAGATGCCCATTACAGTGTTACTACTCTTTATTTATGCAATACTAACTTTACTGGGTAAAGGCAAACTTAGTAATTATTAGGTAATTAGAATTACCTTAATCTCTAGCAGTTTAAAGTTGTTTAAACTTTAGACAAAACAATATCTGAGAATTACCATTGGCAGATCTCTTGATATATGCACATATGTATGTCTGTGTGGCTCTTTCCAATTTCTCTGTTGAACAAGTCAGATTTAGAGAAATAAATGCTAAGAGATGGAATGGTTTATACAATAAGATCAACCCTTCCAGGATGCAACGGGATTTCTGGAAATCAGATGGAAAAGTCACATGACCAGTGTTCGCCAAAGTGACTCAGCTTGTTCACCAATGAGCACTGGCTACAGTGCCAAGTTTGGGAGAGATATATAGATGTATCTTGTTGTTCTTGTTATTTGCCATCGAGTCAACTGCAAATCACAGCAACAACCCTTTTTACAACAGCCCTAAACCCTGCTCTATCCTGTGCCAATCTTGTTGTCTCTGATACACTTATCTCCATTACCTGAGTCACTGAATCAATCCATCTCATCGAGGGTCTTTCACTCCTGCGCTGTCCCTCCACCCTCCCAAGCATGACATCCCTACCCAAGGACCTGTCCCTCCTTGCAACATGCCCAAAGAATGACAGACAAAGCTTCAAAATCCTTGCCTCCAAGGAGTAGACTGCTCTTACCCTCTCCAGGATGAACTTGTTTGTTCTGCTAGCAGCTTGTGGTATATTCAGTACCCTTCTCTAGTACTGGATCTTAGATGAAGTATTTAACTCCTTAGTGAGCTTTTACATGGAGTGTGGGAAATGATTGATTTAACATATACAGGATACATTTGAAAAATTTCTCTTCGTATAACTCCCTATGGTTGCCTCAATCTTTCAGGAAAGACTGGAGGCTTGTATATGATTGTGGTACAGAGAAACAAGGAGTGGAGCACTAAAGGACAGTACAACCTGCCTGCGTGTACTCCTTCATTGAGCCCATGTAGAGACAGCAATACATCAGGAGGATTGGGTCAGGATTCAGGCACAACCTCTCTGAGCTGGGAGCAGTGGGAGAGAACATGGGCTATTGAGGAGCAACTGCTGAGAGGAACATTCATGACAAGCACAAGTAATCCTCTGCTTTCTCAATATATCCTAGAGAAATATGACCCCTGATGTGTTTGTACAGGATGGACAGGAAGTAGAGAAAATAGAAGGTGGAAGATGGGGGAGGGGCACTAGGGATTGGAAGAAGGGAGTGATGGGGATAGACAATGAAGGTAGAAAACGGAGAAGAAAAGAGTAGGAAGAATGGGAACACTGCTCAAGATAGATTTGATACTCCATCTTACACATCCATTCCTTTTTCCAAACTTGTTCTTACTACCGGTCACCTAATATCTTCTCTCTGCTAGAAAAGAACATTATGTTTGGCAAAGTAGAGGTTCAGGAAAACGGAATAAAACCTTCAATAAGATGGATTGATCCAGTAGTCACAACAAGGAATTTGAGAACTCGCCGGTGATTATGAAGATGGCACAGGGCCCAGAAACATGAAGAATCTTGTTATGATAAAGGTTGTAATTAAACGGTTGAAAGTTCAAAGCCACTAGCTATTACTGGAAAATGTCATCTTACAAAGTTTTGTAGCTTTAGAAATCATATGAAATATCACTAAGCATCAAAATCAACTAGAAGCCAGTGGATTTGGGATGAGTTTTTATTTTTGTTTGTTGAGTATTTTTTAGTGTGTGTGTGTGTGTGTGTGTGTGTGTGTGTGTGTGTATTAGCCACGAGTCAGAAGTGACCCAAAATGTCCTTCCCAGCATCTAATATCATAACCATAAAACACTTCTATCCATTATATATAGCTTAATGTGGATAAATTTAAGTAGCTGGATCTAATCTGGTACCTTTTCTATGGCTGGTTTTGTGTGCAGTCAAGTCACAACCATCTCATAGCTGAGCCTCCAGCAGGTTTTCAGAGCCAGTAAATTACATTAGAAGGAGATGGCATATTGTTCTCCCAAGGAGCAGCTGGTGGATTTGAACTGCATGCCTTTGGTATGCCAGTGCAGTCCCTTACCAATAGGGCACCAAAGGCCCTTTTTAGGGTAGGGGGCAAAAATGGCACAGATAATAATTTGGCCCCTTTTCTCAACCTGAGAAATTAAATATTTAGAATCACATTTAAAATTTCTTAGCCGTAACCTAATAGGAAAAAAAAGCAGTCCTTGGAATTAACTGGCTCCTGAAATCAAGCCAAGCAGTCATTCCATTATTTTTCAATATAGTCAGCCTCAGGATATAGATAAGTTCCCTACTAATACCACAGCCTTCTCATATGTGTTCTTGCTTATTTATAAGAGTTTTTTTTTTTTAATTCATTGGTTTGGGATTTCAGGTATCATCTGGGGTTAAGAATGGCAGAAACATCTAAGAAATGAGGACAGAGTTCAAGGACAATTGCCACTTGGTAGCAATTTCTGTCCTAGAACTATACACAATGTTGAGCTACAGTTCAGCTCAGATTTGTTCACTGTCTTCCAACATATAAAGCAAACAGAATATAGTCAGTTGCTTTTGTTATTATAGAAGAAGTAATAATCATTCATATGAGAGTCACAGGAAGAATTAACATGTCATCGATTATCTTAAAATAGTCATTATAGCCATATAAACAAACAACTGGTTCATACAAATGAGCCACATAGGGAGTGCTCTCTAACTTGTAAAATATTTCATGCTTATTTGACCTCTTGCAGTAAGACAAGAGCAGGTGTTACCATAATTATTATCCTGAAAGATAAGATGAGAAGATGAAGAGAAACTGTTACTAAGGGTCATGCTTACTGTGGTATTTGACTTCCAGGCTTAATACGAGAAGACAAAAGACTGCCATAGATTGCCAAAAGAACAAACAGATCTTTTCTGAAGAAGGTGAAGCACAATCTTGGGGCATGATGCCAGGAAGGACCAGTCCTTGGAGAAGAACATCATGCTTGCAAGGGTGGAGGAAGGAAGTGCGCAAAAGAGAAAGACCCCAGATGAGATGGGTTGACACAGTAACAGAAAATGGGGCGAGGCGTGTTGGAAAGTGATACTGGCTCAGGACTGGGCAGGATTCAGTGCTATTGTACATAGGGTCACTGAGTTGTAGGCAACTCGATGGTACAGAACAACAAAAACAAACAACAACAATTATTTTCTAAAAGTGTTTCTACAATAATTCTTTTCTAAAAGGGTTTATTATAGGAAATGTCCACGCTAACACATTTAAAATATAATGTGTGGAGGGAAATGAGAATCCCAGGGAGAAAGTAGAAAGAGTGCCATTACAATGTGGGGACTCTAATTAATGCCATAACACAAAATATCCATGAAAAAATGTGACCATTATAAAATTAGATAGAAAGATAGACAGGCAGACAGAGACACTTGGTTTTAACATCACTTAAGAGTTACACTCTTGTATCAAGAAATGGACATTTTAAAATACATAAACTCACATTTCTTCTTGCCGGTAGGAAAGCTCCCAATTTGAATGTGAATTCTGAGAATAAACAATTCCCACTGTCATTCCAACCACCATAGCTGGGACTCCTATGTAATAAGGACAAACAAGGAGTTAATAATTTATTCAACACTGGGGATTAATTATAAAAGACCATCAATGAATTATACATCAAAACTATTTTCAGGATATATCACCTTGTCTCCCATGAACAAGCCAGAGATATTTACATGAACAATGAACGTAATTTTCCTCTAAGTGCTCTTTTCATTTTCAGTGTTGGCTCTTATATACTAATCATAGACCACTTCTGATTTCTTGGTAAATCTTATCACAGTTTTTATCCTCAAATGGTCTAGATCCTTTTTCATGCAAATAACTTTAAATTTATCACTAAAATAGCTTCAATTGCTGGAACCAGGTAAGATTTTGAGATCATTTTTTCTTTAAGGCACACTCTGAATGGTGTCTTGAAATATCTCTTTCAAGATAGCTAAGAATCTAATTATACTGGTGCCACAGATCTCAAACCAAATTAGTAAAATACATACTAAAGGAAATTATCAAGCTTAATATACCACATACATGGCATCAATGCCAAAATCATCCCTATCTGTCTCCCTCATGGGAGTACAAATCACTTGAGGGTAGGCACTTTGCGTGATCCACGTAATTTCAATTCCTCTGCCTTCCCTATGTTAGGCCTCCAAGAGGAGCCTGTTAAAATTATCCTGACAAAACAAAAATCTCAAGTAAGTGAAGAAGTAAATATTTACCCCATCCAATTAAAGAGATGAATAAAATGAAATGTCGAGGGAGAGGCTTCATGGTCCAAATCAGAAGGAAGTAGAGTTGGGCAGAACTGAGTCCAGACCAGGTAAATGTTGCTAGCAGGAAATAGTGCAGTAAAGCAGCAACTGCAGTGCAAGTAGGATTTGAGGTGCTAATGATTCCTTGAGTGGGTATTGCATTGTCATTAGGATCAGTGTTGGTGGTGGTTTTATCACTCAAAGTATTATTGGAATTTTCAATTCCGAAAACAAAGAGGAGGTTGAAAATCAGCATTGATGTGCACAGACTGACCAGCACCCAGGTTACTGAAGTTTTTCTGACTTTCCTGAAAACAGATAGTTAAAACAAATGAAATAGCAAGATAACAAAGAAATACTTAACTATCTATCCAATGCTAGTCTGCTGGTAGCCCAGTGTGAAAACTGGTAACTCCAGCTTTCTCATGATACATATTTTAAAAACCCCAAAAACCAAAAGCCAGCATTTTTTCACCTTTTACTTCATTTCTATAAAAAATTGACTTAGAGGAAACAAGTAGATTCACAAAGTCTACAAATCGTACTCTGATAAAAGGTGGTGTAGGTTCCACCGAGTCAAGTACAAATTATAGAGACTCTATGAATAACATATCTGAACCTTGCCCTATCTGGCTCCATCCTAATGATCTCTGTCAGGCTCAAGTCCATTGTGGTAGTCACTGTGTCAATCCATTTTCTTGAGGATCTTCAAAGGGAAAGTAGAGGGTAAGCAAAAAAGAAAAAATCTTTCATGAATAGCCAATCTCCAAAGACAGCCCCAAAATACTGACTTGGACACTTCAAAACCATCAAGACTGTATAAGACCATTGCTTTACAAATGAGAGAAAGGTTTGAGTACAAAGAGAATCATTCTAGCACGGTTACCAGTGAGGAGAAGTGGGGAAGTAGAAAAGTAATTGACAATGAACACTTAACTAATATGGGTGAAGAGAAAGTGTGGGATGAATGAATGATCAGCATTGTGCATATTGGAATTGATGTTATAGAACACAATGGGCATGCATGACGGAAAAAACAATATGCTTTGCAAATTCTCACTCAAATCACAGCAAAAAAAGGAGTGGGGAAATCAATGCTATGAAAGGACAAAGTAAAAAACCAAAGGAGATGGGGAAATTCTCTTAGACTCAATGAGATATTTCCAGCTTTCCAGGAACGAGAGTGAGACTACAGGGACAGAATTCATAAATTTTAAAAATCAAAGCCTGAATCCTGACCCAAGCATAAAGGACATTTTGGAATAAATAGAAAAATCTGAATACAGAATAATGTATTAAATTTCCTAAGAAGTGATAATTATATTGTGCCATCTGGGAGAATGACCTTGTTCTTGGGAGATACATGCTTGGAAACATTCATAATGCAAGATGTTTGTAAAATCCTTTCCAAATTTCAGGGGCAGGGGGAGTAGATAAAGCAGACATACAAAAATAATGATAGTCAGTGACTCTAGGGGGAAGGTATCCTAATGTTCATCCTTATGAAAGAAGTGTACTCTTTTTTTCAATTTTTCTGTAGGTCTTTATTTTTTTAAATAAAACTTTGTGAAAAGGAAAAGTAGCAATATTTCTCCGAAGTCTGTCTTCACTCATTCACTCACTCACTCACTCACTCACTTCAGTAGAGTAAGAAATGGCTCCTGGGTGACCCTTCTGTGAGCTTGCAGAGTATGGTTAGCACAGGAATCCAGAATTAAGGTTGCATAGAGAAGTGTAGAAGTGTACTCGGGGTGGGGGGTGGGGGGAAGGGACGTGGGAATTGTATACTAATGAAGGTATTTTTTTTCTTTTTTTTTTCTCTCTTGGGAGGGGGAAGCGAGCTGGTGGGGAGGGGTGGGAAGGGAGAAAATTGAGGCAATGAATGAATGGAAATCCAAAACCTCTGTAAAAATAAAAAGTTATTTAAAAAAAAGCATAGGAGATTGCCTATCTTTCTCCTAAGGAGTGACTGATATATTTGAACCTCCAGAAAGGGGGCACTTTTGGGTCAGCAGCACAGTTCCTTATGGACTACATACCCTAGGGACTCAGATCTCTACTTTTGAGGAAATAATGGAAAAGAGGATGATTCTGAAGGAAATATGTGTTCTTGAGGCATTTGGAGTTGGGTGGCAGGACGAGGTAGAAATACATGATAACCTATTGTCTGCACAGATATTCCTTTACTATGGGCCAGATATTGTATTCTACACTGTGGATACAGTGATCAAAACAAAACAAGAGGGAAAACCAAAAAAAATTAGGTGGAGGCTTTGTCCTCACGAATCTACATGCAGATGAGAAAACAAGCAGTAAACAACTAAACTAATAAACAGGAGTTTAAGCAATCATAGTTGTCTAAAAATGTAGCCTATGGTAAAAAAATAAGTGAGATACAAGCATAAGTGGATCTTCAGTCCATTTCATCATAACTTTGTCTACTAAAAAAATTATTTTCTTTTCCAAAAGTCCTCTTTAGCAGCTTCCTGTTATGGCCTGGCTAACTTCTAAAGCAAGATTAGCACTGTACCATAAGACCAGCAAGACTAACTCCATCTTGGCTATAGTATCTGCTTGGCAATAAACAACTCAAGGAAGTAGGATGTTAAAAAACAAGAATGACCAAATGTTTTAAACCTTAAAGAATACTGTGTCCTTATCAACCAAACCATTTGTTCCTTAAAGCACACAATAAGGTATTCTGGAAAACATCTTTGTATTGTGCTGAGGTTTGTAAAAATTAATGTTTGACCAGTCAACATCTTGGGACTGTATGGGATAATGCGATTGTTATAGAAGAGGTACTGTTAAAATCTATATAGGCTTTGTCTAAAACATAAAATTTTGCTATTCACGATCTGCGATAGCCTTTCTGTATCTTCATTTAATCCTCATCCCTTCTTTCGGTGGAATTGTTCGATATAACGAGGCAGGACCCCGTTAACTTCTGTTTTCTTTTAGGAACAGAAATTGGCAGACATGGTTCTATTCAACATTAACAATTATGATACTTTAAGGAAGTTCTGGTGGCCTAGTGGCAAGAAGCTGCTCTGCAATCCCAAAGACATGCAGTTCAAATCCACCAGATGCTCTACTGTGTTGTTGTTGTTGTTATGTGCCGTCGAGTCGCCTGCGACTCATAGTGACCCTATGTACAACAGCCCTAAACTCCACTCTGTCCTGTGCCAATCGCACTGTTTCTGACACTCCCAACCCAATTATCCCA